CTAGGGACTGTCTATCATTAACCTAGCCACGTATTGTTTCTGGAGGAAATCCTGCTGCTCCTCTTACTTGGGAGCCTGATGGAGCTTCCCTTGCCAAACTTAAAGGTGACTTCCTGGGCCGTCCAGCCTCTAGATTCAGGGATGTTCATAAGCATCCCTGCCTGGCTTTCACGCCTCACAGGCCACCTCCCTGTTACCCCGGCCCCAACCCCCAGGCAGCAAGTGCAGTAGGAGGCGCCCTGGCCAGGAGAACTTGGGTCCATTTCTTACCAGCCTGCGGGAGCCATTTACCCTCTCTGCCTCTGTTTCATCTGGAAGACCAGGTGCTTAAATGCTTTCCTCGCTTCCCTGCTTCACAGGTCCAGCCGCCTTTCAGTTTCTCAAAGGCATGGCGTTCCTTCCTGCCTTGGGCCTTCCCACCTGCCGGGTTTTCTGGAGTCTGACTCAGTTCCACTCTCTGGGACTTGGCCCAGTGCTCCCTCCCCAAAGATGTCTTTCTGACCGTTTTTTTTAGCAGCCCTCTCCCCGTCTTGTTTTTATCACCGAACACCGCTAATTTTCCTCATAGTGCTTTCATGACTTATAACTATGTACCTTTGTCCCTCCTGTTGAACTACAAGGATGGTGGGCATGTTATTCATCAGTACATTCCCAGTGCCTAGCACCGGAGTGACCTTCCACCACAGGCATGGGTGCATTCAGCAGTATTTACTGAGTGCCGATTCCATGCTAAGCACTGTCTTCAATGTTTGTGATAAATGTGAGCAACTGTGGACCAGCTGATGAATGAATGCACAAAAGAGTGTTCTCACTTCACAGCTTACAGAATGAATTTCACACTCATTTACTTGTGCTTTCATTCATTGAGTAAGCATTTGTTGAATATCTACTACTTGCTAGGCACAGTGCACATCGTTTCTTCCTCTGAAGACTTTAGAGGTTCGTGGGGGAGACAGACAGGTTCCCCAACAGTTGCAAAGGCCCCTAAGGCCTCCAGGTGGGGAAATGGAGATGTCAAGCCATCTCAGGGCCACAGCTCAAGGTGGGCAGGCTGTGGACTGCTCTACCAGGGGACGGTGGTTATTGTGTTCCCGTGCAGCAGCTGAAGAAATTGAGATGCAGAAAGGTTAAATATTAGCTTGAACAGGTGGGACGAGGGCTTTGTCCAGCCTGAGTTTAGGGCCCGCAGGTCATGCCCGCCCCTCGGCCTCCATCCTACCTTCTCAGACACACTGTGGTCGGGGTCAGACCCTCCCTGACTCAGTACATTAGCAGGTCATAGGTGGCTTGAAGAGAGGGTCTCAATGGGAAGACAGAGTAGAAGCCAGCTTGCTGCAGACTCCAGATTGGGAACTGGAAACGAAGAATGGGAGCAGCTGATTGCAGCAGAGCGTGCATTCAGAAAGGCAGCAGTTTGAGAGACTTTGGTCACTGGACCAAAGACAAAGGCAGGAGAGAGAGTGAAACAGGGTCCCAAGGAAGGGGAGGGGGAAGCAGGGGGGCCTGCTGCTCCTGAGAGGGGATTTTGCAACTTGAAGACAGAGCCGCTGCCAGGGATGGGAAAGGGGCAGAAGAGGAAATGGGAAGCCCAGGGATGCCCGGGTGACGCCAGGCCTGTGAGGAGAGAGATGTGTACCCAAGGTCAGCACCCTCAGGTGGGGGCGCGAGGCTGGCCTGTCGCGAGCAGCCAAGAGGTGCTAGTGTTCCTTCCCGTTTCTCCCTGAGATAGCCAAGCCCCTGAGGGGCATGCGACTTGCTTCTACTCAACTAACTGAACTCAACTTCCAACTTGCATCACCTGCCTTCAAGCTCAGTGATCATCATCATCACCATTCTTCAAAAATAATAACAGGCCGCTTTTATGGAGTGCACATGTAATACCTAGTAATCTCCTTGCATCCCCAGAACAGCCCTATGTGGTCGGTGCATCCCCATCCCCATTTTACAGCCGAGGAAACAGACTTAGGTATAGCCTGCCAGGGTGGTAGAGCCCACAGAAGTGGCAGGGCTGGGATTCAAACCCAGCTGATCTGAATGCAAAGCTCAAGCCTCCAGCCCTCCCCTCTGACTGTCACATCTTTTATTTACTTCATACCCTACATGCTGTGCACAGCACAATTTTCTGAAACATCCCCAAGTGCCATCCTGAACTGGACCTTCTTGGGAGAGGCTGCCAATTCTGAGGCATAATGGAAAAATCCTTCTGGGGTCAGTGCCTGTGCACCGGGGGTTAGCAATATGATTCTTGCACTCCCAGCGCCAAACCCCATCGTCCCAGCGGCTCAGTGCTTAGCTGGTGGGCTCAGCCAACGCTGGCTTTGTTTGCCTGAGCAGAAGAGCACTCTCTGTCTCTGTCATCCTGAAGCAGACTCACCTGAACAGGCATCGGCCCACACAGCGCACAGCAGGAATGTGCTGTGTTCGACTGTGTTTCCCAGGGAGCTGCTACAGTCCAAGCCAGGTGGACAGGCATGTGCCCTTCTACCAGAGCCAGGTGGCCACCAAAGGGTGTGGCCTACAAACCAAGGTTGCTTAAGTTGGGAGAGGACCAGATTTAGGCCCTGATTTCCTCTGTGGCTTTGGGGCAGGCTTCTTCAGAATCAGGAACCTCTCAGAACTGCGTAGGGCCAGAACTGCAAGGCAGGCCCAGCCTCAGGCTTTCACACTCTTAGAGGTTTCTCACTTCCCAGTGGAAGGAGTGGCAAGAGCAGACCCACAGTATTCAAAGCCCAGTGCAAACTGGTAACTTAGGAGCAGTGTAACTTTGGACACATCGCTTTATCTCCTTGGCTGTTTCCTTACCTGTAAAGTGGGACCAGCCCCCATCTTGTTGCCTGAGAGGGCTACGTGAGCAAAAGCACACGACTTGGTATTGATGCATGACAGGCTTGCAATGTATGGCTGTTCCGTGGACCTGTGGGAGAAATGAGAAGGCTGAAGTCAACTCTTTTCCTCAAGAAGCATCTGAGCATTAGGAAGAGAGGGTGATACCCTTCAACACCACCGGGTAGTGCATAACTAAATATCAAGTTGCGGAGTCCAGATCCTCAGGGACTCAGAATCAAAGGGATGACTCAGGCTCTCCTATAAAGGAGGCCTTCCCAGAGGAGGTGACAGTGAGTCTTGAAATACGATAAGCTGTGGAAAAGGAGATGAGGGTGGGAAAGAGAAGAATTTCGTGCTGACAAATCAGCTGCCGTGCAGGCACAGAGGATGCGGCTTGCGTAGAGGGCAGGCCGCTCCCGAATGCAGAGGGTCTCCACACCCAGCGCAGAAGGCCAGACCTGGCGTTGCTGTGGTCCTCAGAGGGAGCACAGTAAAGTACAGTCTAGGTGCTTTGGAGGGTAGGAGTCCAGTGACGGCTCTTCTTAGCCAAGTGCATTCCCCCACCGCCACCCTTTGGACCCTTGGATCTGGGAAGGACCCCACTCAGGCTAACTGTAACTGCAGGACTTTCCCTAGAGGTGCGGGCAAAGGGGAGAAGGGAGACCATTGGGAACGGCGGTGTCCTGACTGCAAAGGCACGTGCCTGCTGGGCTGACAGCACTTTGTGGTCCTTGTTCCAGGAGCTCTGCGACGACCCCCAATTTATCGTTGGAGGAGCAACCCGCACAGACATCTGCCAGGGAGCCCTCGGTGAGTGGTGGCACCCAGAGCCGGCAGCAGGGTCTTGGCTGCAGGCTGGGAGTGGAAGGGGTGAGGGACCCTCTCTTGCAGGTGGTCCTTCCCAAGCAGCATGGTGACTTCCATTTCCGGAACTTTCTAGAATCTCTTGTCCCCCCAAAAAACGGTAGACCTCTTGTGTCCCCAGCTATGGGCTGGTTGTTGAGCTTACGAAGTGCTCCGCTAGAGGACTGAGGGCTTCTAGTTCCAGCCACACCATGGGCTCTGTAGCTCTTGGGGATTCTATTACCAGCGCCCCTCTCTAGACTGAGGCCAGATGGGAAGACTCACCCAGGCCAGTGACAGCACTGAGCCATCAGTCCTCTGGTTTCGGGACAGAGGATGGTGACTCAGTCTGAAGAAGAGGAAACCCTGACACTCGCTGCTGGGAGGAGTCAGAGCACCAGGGTGTCTCCTGTTCACAGAGCAGTTGCTATGGCCAGGCAGTTGTACAGAATGGGGAGCAGTGTTTGTGCTGTAGACATCGGGGTGCCAAGTAAGGTTAGCTGGAGAAGCTGGACCAAGAGGATCGGAAACTTTGCTCTCTGGTTTGTTTCTGGATCCTGCTGGGAACTAGGATCCATGGGGTCTCCAACTTTGGTGTGAAAACTCCCCCAACTTCTTTGAAGCAGTCTCAACAGTGGGCCCAGGGCCAGTATTTTGGCTTCTCACAGAATACAGCTTTCTTCTTACTCCTAATAAATGCAGACCCACGATCACTGGAAGTGGTTGTTTGCTCCAATAAACCAAAAATCTGTTTCCTGACATCAGCTTCAATACACCCCCCAGACCAGGTCTTCATCATCAAAATGGATCAACTGGAGTTGTACCTCCTTCCCTGGCCTCATCCAGGCTCTGATACTCTCAATAGAAACAGCCCCTGTTTATTGGCTGTATACTATGTACTAGTTACGAGTCTGTTTCTTCCAAAATCTCTAAGGAAATGCAACTATGCCCACCTCGTAGACAAGAACACCGAGGTCATGGGAGTAACTTGTTACAGGTCATCCCACAGCTACAGTGGCGCCGGGTGTGTAAATACAGTCTGACCCCAGGCATGTGTCTAACCCCAGAGGTGGACTCCTTGCGCTCCTGGAAAACTTTCAACCTCTGAAGGATGTCAGGGCAACTGTGTGCATCATTAGGCTGTGCACACGGTAGGAAATTCCTCTCTCCCAGAGAACATGACCCAGGCTAGGCAAGCAAACCAGGTTAAGCTAAGTCTCTGTGTGCAGATTCCAGAGATGCCAGAGTACGTTCTTACCTGCAGCAAACATACTCCCATTTCCCGACTTTCTCCTCCAAAATAGGAATCTTGAGCACCTAAGTGGATGCTCTCGAAAAGTCCATTTGTTAGAATGAAATTTAAGAAGTCTGGGAGTTGATAACTTGACCAACCTGGAGGGCTGTAGCGAATCCAGAGGCGTCTACAGCCATACCACCCTGAGCGAGTCCGATCGTGTCTGATCTCGCAAGCTAAGCAGGCTCGGGCCTGGTCAGTACTTGGATGGGAGAATCCAGGCATGTCCAAACACACCTGGACACACACGTGCATTTACTCCTCACTTAGCCTAGGGCTAGACTAAACATTCACTTCAAAGTTGAACAACATCTTAAGGGCCCAATTGCAAATAACAAATACAGGGTTGAAGTGCTATTTAAATACTTCTGGGCCATTTGGAGAGGAGCCAGGCAAAGCTTACATTCCTGGGGCAAATCCCCCAATTAAACAGAAGACTAAATGTAAGTCTTATTCAAATGTCCCAGTAACTAGCCTGTAATATCGAAGGTCCTTTACGTCTCGTTGAGCACTTTGTTTTCTTGACCTTTTACTTTGGAGGATTCTGGTTTGATTGCAGTCTATGAAATGTGGTTTACTAAACTCTCACCCTGATTTGGGCTCCAGGGCACAGATGGGTGATGAGCTGCTGTGTGTCCCCGCATCCCAGCCAGTTCAGAAGCATCAGGAACTGTGGCGGGGGCATCTGGCCACATGACCAGAGGCATGAGCCCAGACTCAGCTCTTAGTTGGGAGACCCTGGACTCGGATGCTCAGTCTCCTCTAAAAATCCGAGAGAGGAAGGCCAGTGAGGTGACCTGAGTGGTTTCTTTCTAAGGTGTGGCATTCCACTCCTCTGAAGCCTTCCCTGGTACCTGATCCAGGTTGTAGGCCTGGTGTTTGAGGGTCGGTTCACCAGTCTCTGCTTATCTCATGTAGACTGGAAGAACAGCCTCGTCCCCTATACAAAAGGTGCAACTCATAGAGGGTTTTTTGTTTTGTTTTAGTAAAACTGTATTTATGGACACTAAAGTTAAATTTCACCTCTGATTTTTCATTGCACTATCTCATGCAATTCTGAAGTTATCATTTTCTTCCACTACTTTGCAGGTAAGAAAACTGATGTGGGAGGGCGGCACAGCAGGATGGTGGTACTTGAGCTCTGATCTGAATTGTAACTCCTCTGTGCTCTGCATAACCCCAGACTCCCTCTGCGTTGCCACTGTTTAAGGGAATGTGTCTCAGGACCCCGCTGCTGTGCGCGCCCGCCTTTGCAGCGATGGCTGGTGCACACGGCTGGAAGCCTCCCCAGAGTCACTCAAACCACTTCTGCAGAACTGCTCTACCTAGGAGCCCCCTCACTGCAGACCTTGGTGGGGTTAACAATCGAGAATCTTCTGCCCACTGGAGGAAGGGCTTGAGACCCACTGTGCCCCCACTGGCCCCACAGCTAACTGTGGTTCTGGAATTGCTGGGCACAGCCTATCCTTAAAGGTGATTGCCACTTGGATGCCCCAGAGGTCCTGGAAATTCAAAAGCTGCCCCTCTTCCACGTGGTTTGCACCGAACTCTCTCTACTGTCCCACCCCTCCACCCCCCCACAGCTTCAGGGAAAGGCAGTCATTCTGGCCTGGTGCTCCCAGAGGCCCTTGGCTAGTGTGGGGAGGGCTGAAGGCTGCCATGCTCTTGGAGTTTGTTGAAACAGCACAGCTGTGTTTCATGGGAACCTGGCAAATGATCTCTGGGACCCTCAGCGGTGGGTCACCCTGCCCCTGCACCCCCACCCCCACCCCCAGGGGACACAGACTTCTGGCTCCTAGAACAATGACTGGAAGGTGTTTGGCTACAAGAGGCTGCCCCACAGCCCAGCTCACCAGAGTAGGAAGGAAGCTTCCAGGTCCTGCTGCTCCTTGGCCTCTAGGCCTGGGTGACAGGACAGGTCATTCAAGTTCTCTGAGCCTCAGTTTCTTCCCTGCAAGATGGGAATAATGATAACTCTGCCCAGGGCAGTGGTGAAAGTGAGATTAATTTGGCGACATATTTGGCAGACTCTAGGGGGGTTGGCTGAATCTAAGGGGCTTGTGGCTATTAGGTCCAAATCCTAGGAGAAAAGGAGGAGGATAGGAGAGAAAAGAAGGAAAAGGAAATAAAGTGGGTTGGAAACCATATCCTCGCTCTAAACATCGCCCAAGGAGGGAAAGGCAAAACTTGGTTCCCTAAGGGAAACATAGATTGTTAACACCCAGAGATGGAGAAATATAGATGATAATAAATGTAAAAGAAGATAAAAAGTGTAGTAGAAAAATGAATAGAACTTTTTAGAACAGTTTTAGATTTGTGGAATAATGGAGACCACAATCTAGATTTTGTAGGGTGCCCCTCTGTGGGTGCCTTTAAAAGTAGCACATGCTATTTAAAAAATAAATAAGAAAATAGTTATTATGTTGCCTGATCTGATGGAGAACGTAAATAGTCTTGTCTCTCTCTTAAAAGCAATGGCAGGGTACCAGCCCCACCCTCTCTGGAACAGATGTGTGGTGCCGGTGAGTCATCGTTTCCTCTCAGCTTCTCTTCTGGTTTCAAACGCTGGTTCACAGCTAGTCTCCCTGGGGCTGCTGCCTGTGCTCCAGGGCTTTCCCTGACACATGAGACAGTCTCCCAGGCAGGGCAGGAGGAATCGCAAATCTGCTGTTTGGCCCAGAGCCCCTGCCTGCCCCCAGCCTTGCTCACCACTCGTGGGGGTGCAGCCCATTCAGGATCTAAAGGACAAATCTCTCCACCCTGTCTCTGCTGCCTCCTTGGGAGTAGGCAGGATGGGGCCCCTCCCTGATGAAGTGGGGCCCACTTCCCTCGGTGCCCAGAGTGAGTTTCACCTCCCAGACTGCTCCACAGAGCAGAGTGGGACTTTTGCTGGTCCTAGTGCCCCCAGAGGGGGAGCCGGGCCCCCCTCAGCCATCTCTCTCTGAAATGGGGTGTGGGGGGGAGGAATCTGATTTCCCCAGGCCCCACAACTTCTGACATTCTGTGGCACTAACATGCTGTTTCCTTCACGTCTCCACAAACCGGGCTTCGGCTCAGGGTGTGAGCAGTTACAGCCACAGCAAGGTTCAAGTTAGTCCCATCCGTCCCTCAACAGCCCTGGCCACAGACAGTGTCTCATCCCCTAGGATTTCATCTCACCACCATGCTAGGAGGTCAGAAATGAAGGACCATGTTCCTTGGGGTCTGAGGGGTCCTGGCCAGACCAGTGTGAGTGATGGAACCCCGGGATGAGGATGGTCTGCTGTCTCTGGCTGGCCCCAGATCGGGTGGCCTGGCCAGCAGGTGGGCAGTGGACAGTAAGGAAATGTCTGCATCTGCACTGTCCTTGAGGCTAGCTGCTGGCCGTGTGCATCACCTGAAATGTAACTTATACCACTGAGGAACTGCAGTTTAATTGCATTAAGTGTTAGTCTAAGTAGCTGCTCATGCATTGTGGCTTCTGCACTGGGCCATGCAGAGCCCACTGAGGGTGGAAGTCTCCCGTCCTTTGCTCTAGTCTCCTGCCCAGGCTGGTCCTCACAGGCCTGTTTCTCCACAGGAGCCAAGCAAGGTACACGCGTCAGTAACGGTGTGTGAGCAGCGGGGTCGAGAGTGCAGACTCGGGTGCCCCCAGGCTCCCCCACTTCGTGGCCCTGTCACTTGGAATCATTAG